CTGGTGAGGTTAATCTGGGAAGGGCAGAGTTACGAACATGCTGAATACAAGGAGTTATGTGCCTGGTGGGCGGGAGGGCAAACCAAAGGGCCCTGGGGCCAGGTTCCTGGCGCTAAGGGAGAAAGGTTAGTGTGGGTTTGGTTGCATCTGAGAGGTGGTGATCTGTTTGACACCGGGAATTGCTGGCAGGAAAAAGGGGGGGTGTCTTTGTGCCTGGACCAGAACATAGATAGTGTCCATTTGGTCACTTGCTTGTTGTTTCTGTGGGCTGGATGCCATGTCCAATAGTAACACAAGAAAAGAGGCACCAGTGGTATGGGGACCTTAGTATTCCCGCTGAGGTCTGAGGAAGGAGGTAGTATCATGTGTGTGTGTGTGTGTGTGTGTGTGTGTGTTGTGGGGTAGGGTTGGGCTTCTGGGGAAATAGGTTATCAGTGAAAGATGTGCCAAAACCCTCCCAGGTCAAGAGCCTGGATGTGTCCATCTGTCCATACTTTGTCTGGCTTTCCTGCCCACTCATTGGCCGCACAGATCAGCTGAAACCATCATTGCAGGGTCTGGTGACATTTGAGGACGTGGCTGTGTATTTCTCCCAGGAGGAATGGAGGCTACTTAATGTTACCCAGAGGCACCTGTACCGTGATGTGATGCTGGAGAACTATGAGCTCATTAGTTCACTGGGTAAGTCCCTCATGCCCTCCCCCAGCACACTGACCACCTCTGCCTTTTCCCCATGGAAAGTTCTGTTCATTCCAAAGCTATATCACAGAAGTTGCTTCCTTCCCAGCTTCCCTGCAGCTGGCTTGGGTGCCAGGTCTTTCACAGTGTGCCCAACTGATCCCACCAATCTCAGCCTGTCCCTAGCTTGGTGACCCTCTTGGAGTCATGGGTCTTCTGTGCTATGAAGTTGCCCTCTTCCTCCACAAGTCTTGTGCAGGACCTGCCATATCCTAGGCCAATCTTGATCTCTGATATACCATTTCCACTTAATGTTAGATTGCAGCACATGCCCAACCTGTGGCTGTGTGGATCAGACAACACGCAGTTCATGATGGTCACCTGGTATCCCATGGTTAGGTATTCAGTTGCTACCAAAGGTCCAGTAGCAAGCTAGAAGTTATTTCTCTGTAGAATAGTTATCGTCAGAAGATGGGGTAGACTTGCTCCAAAATCCTAGAGGTCTGTGCTGTAATACTCCTACTGCTGCTTGCCAGAGGCTCCATACAGGATCCTTATTTGCCACAGATATTTCAAATATCATTGAATCTGCTGGATCATAAGGCCCAGGTAGTAGAGCAGCCTATACTGCAGCCTGAACCTGCTTCAGAGCCTTCTCTCTTTCTGGTTCCCTCTCAAAACAGGAAGCCCGATGGCTGACTTGGAAGATGGTTTAAAGTAGTAGATTCAAACATGCTATTTGTTGCCTCCATAATCCAAGTGGTTGTGCCTCTTTTTTGGTGGTAGAATGGTGTGAGGCTTTTGAGCCCCCAAATGCTTCACTGAGATGGCAGGCCCCTGAATTTCTGTAGATTTCATCTCCCACCTCTTGTTTACATATGTCTTACTAAGGTATCTAAAGTACTTGCTACTTCTTGCTTATCAGATCCACTCAGCATAATGTCAGCAATGAAGTGGACCAATGTGATGTTTATGGAATGTCAAGATGATCAAGATTTCTGTGGACTATATTATGGCAGAGAGCAGAATCGATGTAGTCCTGAGGTAACAATGTGAAGGTATAGTGTTGGTCTGGCCAGGTAAAAACAAATGGTTTCTGGTGATCCTTGCAGACTAGTATGGAGAAAAAGGCAATAGATGGTTCAGTAGCTGCGTGCTAAGTGCCAGGGGGTCTGTTAATTTGCTGCAGTGAAGACATTACCTCTGGAATAGCAGCTACAATTGGAGTCACCACTGGATCAAATTTATGATGTTTTGCAGCCATTTTCCAAGATCAATCTGATTTCTGCACAGGCCAAACTAGTGAGTTAAATGGGAATGTGATAAGTACTGCCACCTCTGCTTCTTTGAAATCTTTGATAGTGGCACTAATCTCTGTAGTTCCTGCAGGGATACAACACTGCTTCTGGTTTATTGTCTTGGCAGAGAGTGGAAGCTCCAGAGGCTTCCATATAGCCTTTCTTGCATAATGGCCCTCACTTGATGGGTCACATGGGGATGTAGGGATTCTGCCAGTTACTGAGTATGCTAATTCCAATTATGCACTCAGCAACTGGGGAAATAACCACAGTGTGTGTCTGTGGGCCAACTGGGCCCACTGGGAGTTGGACCTGAAGTAAGAGTCCATCTACTGGGCCGGCCCAGTGGCTCACTCGGGAGAGTGCGGTGCTGATAACACCAAGGCCCCGGGTTCGGATCCCATATAGGGATGGCCGGTTCGCTCACTGGCTGGGCGTGGTGCTGACAACACCAAGTCAAGGGTTAAGATCCCCTTACCGGTCATCTTTAAAAAAAAAAAAGAAAGAAAGAAATTTGTTTTTATGGCCTGATAAAATTCCATTGTATGGCTATACCACATTTTTCAATCAATTCATCAGTCAGTGGACATTCAGGTTATTTATGCTTTTTGGCTAATATGCATAATACTTTTATGAACATTTGTGTACAAGTTTTTGTGTAGACATATGTTTTCATTTCTCTTGTGAATATGTCTAGGAGTGGAATTGCTGGGTCTTATGGTAACTCTATGCATAACCTTTTGAGGAACTGCAAGACTTCTTTCCAAAGCAGTTGTATCATTTGGGAACTGAATTTTAAAATTATATTGAATTTCTATTCTTGGGAAGACTCTCCGAGTTTTAACCATTATATGATAAACATAAAGAAATGATCAAATAATTTGTGTTTATTGCCAAATATTTGGTTTCTACATCTAATATGATTTGACATAATCTGCCAGTTCATTTCCTCTGAAGAGTATGAATTGTGACCAAATTAATTTGACTTTAATAAACATATTCAGAGGCTATTTAAACTTATTAAAAGTGGTACCCACTATAATGTTGACCAATATATTTTTCGGAAGGAGACTTTTTGGAATTGCCTTTAGAGCCCAACCAAGGTACATTATTTTGTTTTTCCCCAAATTTTTGCATTTAAGGGTAGTTTTTATGTCCTCTGGGGGGAAAAAGAAGACCTCCTAAAGTCATTCAGAGCAGAATTTAAAGTAAACCAAATTTAGTAATGCTATATTCGGTTAAAAATGAAGGATGATTATTAAAGTAATAAAAACTGATTTCTATGTATATCTGTAACTTGTAAAATGACTGTGAAGGTTTTAAAAGAGGCTTTCCTAGAAATGTTTTGGGCAACAGCAGCAGCTCCTCAGTGATGACTATGAAGGGCTTACTTGTAAGTTTATATTTATTTTTTAAACATCTCATTCTTTTAGTCACACCTCCCTCTGCTACCTGAAAGATATGTCGGATCATCCCATAACATCAGTACTGAGTATCCTTCAAAGTATTTTAGGAAGCCATTTTATCTTAGTACCTGGAATTGGTGTTCAAAGACATTAAATTTCCTGACCTAGGAGAATTCTGTAGATACACTCTGACTCATCCATTTGTTATGTGCCAAGGAACTCCTGTTAGTGCAGTTCAAATTCGGTTTGTGATAGCTGTTTTGTGTGTGGATTTTTTTGTTTTTGTTTTGTTTTAACTGAGTGAATTTATCTTTTGTTTATCAATTGCTTAATCATTCTATTAAGTATATGCTCTATTAAAAAGTAAAAAAAAAAATTTAAACAAATTTTAAGGCTGTGAAAATAAAGAATTTCAAAACTCTTAATTCTTCCTCAGTGACACTGCCTTACTGGAAGAAGAATTGGAGAAACTCATTGAAGCTCTGATTGAGAATTTTCTTGAGCCCAGTAAGAATGGACTGATCTGGCGTTCTGTTTAGGGTTACACCAGTACGTCACGACTTTGCACTGGCATATGGAACAGAACAACCAAGAATTCCATGCATTGAACCTCCTGTTAGCATTCTCACTCTATCTCATCTGGCCAAGTATCTTTTTCCTTTTATTTTCTTTCTTTTTAGTCAGCTGACTAAGCAAACTGTATAAATTTTGAAGTGAAATGGTCTGGAGGGAAATGACTCAAATTTTTTCATAATCTTGAACAAAAGTCATTACATTAAAAGTATTATAGTAACACATCATTCTTCCTTTAACAGAAACATAACAATACAAAAGTGAGTTTTCTTGTTACAGTGTGATTGAGCTTAGTTCCATATCTTGTGATTGTGTATAGCATGGCTTAAAAAAAAAGGCAGATAAATGTTACATAATTATAGGGTTAGTTAATGAAATTACTCTATAAAATTGGCAAGGAAATGGTACTGCTCCTAGATGATAGAAAAGTATCATTGTTGCATCATATGTATTAGTTTACAAATTAGGATATTTGAAATAGGGTATTTAGCATTTGTGGTGTAGAACAGATGTTACAGTGTGAGGTTTCAGCACCTCTACTTCAGGTGCCCTTGGTGCAGTGTAAATTTACTGTATGTATTTAAAATTCTGACGTTTACTGAACATAAAACAGTAGTGGCAACACTCCAGTAGTGACTTTGTTCCTGTCAAATTTCTCAGTGCCTTCTCAGGGTCTGGTATGAACTGAAACAGTGTTCCTGAATTGAATATACTTTAATCAGTTAATTGTCAGATAGTTAAGGAAAATCTTCCAAACTATATAGGTGCTTCCTCTATATCAGATGAGTTTGCTGATTTTCAAATCTTGTGAATTTAAATAAAGAACTTTATAAAAGCAGTCTTAACATAAGAATTTACTTCATGTTAAAGATCTTCACGTTAGAATTGTGTCAGTTATCATAACCTTTAAAGAAAAAAATCTGAACTGAGAAAGGAGCTCTGAATTTATTTGGCAGTTTAACTTTCGAATTACACTTTTGTAGGTAGATTTATTCCTTTATCTGATGAAGTAATACTATGAAACAAAACATCCAGATTTTAAAGATCATGAAACACCAAAACTATATGTTATAAAATAAAGATCATTTATTCTGTGATCTTGCTAGATCCTGTAAACTTTCTGATCACGTGAGTGCTATTTATCTTTTATAATGTGGGAAAAAAATTTTTCAGAAAGTTACTTTGGGTTGATTCTACAGTTTTCTGAAAAGACTTAATAGAGAAGTGCTGTTTAAACTTCTTAAAGTGTATGTTGTCTCATATATAATCGCAGAATACACATGTGATATAGTTAGGAGATAACAATAACAAGGCCTTGGGTGTAATCATACTAAACAAATTGCCTATAGGAGATAGCACTGGTATTAGAGAACTTGTTTCCTAAAAAATAAATAATAATAATATAAAGTTTAAACTGTTCAGAATGTTCATAAATCCTGGTTTGGTTTGTTGCAGCTGTCAGCTAACATTTGGTTGAGCTCATATAATCCAAACATAATTTTCAAATTACTGTGTTGCCACTATTGTTAATTTGTTCCCTTCTTACTTTCTTATAGCTGAATCTTGTATGACTGTAGATGATAACTAGCTAAATGTAGAACACGATTTTTCTGAGTGAGTTGTTTTTAGAAGCTTTGCACTAGAGAAAAAAATGCGTAGAATTTTTTGTTTTGTTTTAAAAATGTGTAAAACATTTTTTGATGTATTTGCTTTTAGGAATGTAGATTGTAATTTAGGAAGTGACGTATATTCTACAAAGTGGTATGAACAATGTTATATATATATAAAACATGTATATTTGGTTTTAGTGTATATATTTCAGTGACTGAAGAACAAAAGGAAGCTGAAGTGATACAACAGCCCATTCATAATTATTAAAGCCATGTCATGACTGCCGTTCTGTTATGAAGAGAACAATTTTATTTGAGTCTTTAATATAATACATTTAAGTCATCTTAATCAAGGTGAAAAGTTATTGATGTTTCTATTATTAAATCAAAAATTTTAAAGTCCAAAGTTAAAATGAACAAAATTTTACAAATGTTCCCAAAGTGTATAGATAAGGGCCGGCCTGGTGGCGCAATACATTATACGAAGTTATACGACCCTTACTCTATTTAAGTATTACTGCCTTTCACCTGGGCTCAACCAAATCTTCCTGCCTCTTGGATTTCCTCTGGAGTCTAGTTACTATATCCACTGGCATCAGTACCCTGCAGATGTCCCAGGGATGGTCTGTAAAAGAGACAGGAGGGATGCTCGAAAGTGGGGAGGTTCTCAGCCTCAGCCCAGTGCTAGTTTGTGTGTGGGAATGAGGAAGATGTGGTGGAGTAAGTGATGTACTTTATTTCTCTTGAAGGAACACTTTGCCCTTGCTTTGTGGACAGGTCACTGTACCAAGGAATATAGTACTGTAGCATTTTTCTGGACCCACATAAATGCAGTTATTCACCTTAATTATATATCCGCAAAGTAAAATTACAAGTCATTACATCGTTATAAAAGTGATAGATAAGGGCCGGCCTGGTGGCGCACTGGATAGTGCGCCGCTTGGGAAGCGCGGCGGCGCTCCCGCCCGAGGGTTCGGATCCCACATACAGACCGGTTCCCGCTCACTGGCTGAGCGAGGCACGGGAGCAACACCGAGGGTTGCAATCCCGTTGCCGGTCCCCGGTCCGGTGCGGGGGCAACACTGAGGGTTGCGATCCGTTGCCGGACACGGAAAAAGACAAAAAAAAAAAAGTGTATAGATAAGAGAATGATTTGATTCTAGCTGAACTCTTGAGTCTGTCTGAGCAGATATTCAGCATGAACTTGACATAGTGGATGCCCACTTGCTTAACAGGCTAAATTCAGCCATGACCCACGCCTGCCAGGAGAAACGGAAGGGATGGCCAGTGGGTCTCAGCCTTGGGCACTGCGTTATCTTTTTTTTCTTGAACAAAATTATGGAAACAAATGCATTCTCATTGAGCATGTAAATCAAAACTAGGATTATCTTGAGTTTGGGGGAAAAGGAAAGAATTAGTGGGACAAGATCAAAGAATAAATTGAAAGTAAATGGTAGAAATAAACAATATAAAGGTCAATAAGGCAGCACAGAAAATGCTTCTTGTGAAGGGCAAATCTAACACCATAAAAGCAGGGAATAAACTGTGTGAGAGTTGTTTACATGTGGTTATTTGTTATTATGATGAGCCCATAGTGAGCCTATTGTTTTCTCTCATTGGTGATCACTAAAAAGAGGCCAGTTTTTAAGATGAGAGGAAAAGTATCCCTCCTACAGTTAAGTTCCTGCTAGGATGTCATGTCAGAATCATGTGAGAACTCTGAAGAAGACAGAGCAGAAAAAAAGGAATAAAATACAGATTGGAAGATAAAGACCTCTGAGAAAATGTTCAAAGAATTAAGATCATTTAACTCTGGAGTGGAGAAAGTTGTTGAGATAGTTGCTAAGTCTTAAGTTATCGAGGCTTCTTTTTTTTTTAAGATGACCGGTAAGTGGATCTTAACCCTTGACTTGGTGTTGTCAGCACCACGCTCTACCAGCGAGCTAACCGGCCATCCCTATATAGGAATCTGAACCTGTGGCCTTGGTGTTTCAGCACCACACTCTCCCTCGTGAGCCACGGGCCAGCCCAAGTTATCGAGGCTTTTATTGAAGGACTCAAAGTAGGAAGTACTGTGCCATACTGTTCTCCATCTCCAGTGAGGATAGAACCAGAGGGAATAAGGATTTAAAAATAAAAAAAGACAGCATGAAAAGTTTAAGTTAAGATTTAAGAACTTCTTGGGCAGGAATCGTCTTAAAGTCTCCTATTTGATATCTTTTTTATAAAAATTTTAAACATTAAGGGATATAAATGTCTTTTTAAAGTTTCCTTCCTTGCAGCACATTTTTTTTTTAAAACTCAGCTTGGAACAAAAATGATATCATACAGAGCACTAAAAGTAACATTAGGGTTTCACTCCATATCTAGAAGAATTTAGCCCATAAAATTATTTTTATATATTTTGAGTAGTAGGTGTATTAGTGAAATTATTGAATAAAGACCTGCTTGGATGTTATTTTTAATGTAACCTGGCATATTAAGCAAGACTTTAGCACAGTTTCATTCATCTTAAAGAATGTGTAGCATTATAAGATATTTGAAGTTTTTGTTTTAAATATAAAGTATTATTATTTGGATGTAGTAACTTCAGCAGACAGAGAGGCTCTGAGAGATTGGATAACTTAGAATATCTTCATATAGGAAATAGACTTCCCATTTTGTAAGCAGGTTGCCTCTGGAATTGATGCAACAAAGTTGTTAGCTGGAGTTTAATGAATAAATTGTTCTTTGTACTGCTGCTATTGGTATCTTTCAGATGTTTTCCGTAGATCTTTGTAATGCTTGAAAAATCCAAATTCTGCTTGGAAAAATTTAATGCCTTTTTCTCTCTACCTCCCTCTTTACCTAGGCATCCTTCCACTTTTTGTTACTGTGAAAAGCTATTGTCCTGTTACCTCACAGATAAGAAATCTTAACTGCGCTCATTCAGAATGCTTTAAACTTATTCATAAACTTCATTTGTTTGTGGACTTTTGGTTATTTTATTATTATTGTCAGAATATTTAAGATTTACTGTAAGAAGTAATAATTTTAAATCTATTTCATAATCTGTTTTGGTCTGTCTGGATACTATTATATGTTAATTTATTATGGCCTTTTACAATTCATTTGTTTCTGAGATGGCTCTAGAAACTGATGAGGAAAGAGTCATACCAACCAAAATGAATGGTCAATAGATCTAGCATTTTATTTCAGGTTTCCTTGTATTTGGGGTAGCCAAAGCATAAGATTTAAGGAAATCTTGTTCACATTTGTCCCTCAAAGCATCTTACCTCAAACCATAAGAAGTCTAAATAGAGAGGAGAGTTGCTGGTTATCTGACTCTATACAACGTGACTTTAGTTCTAGTTGGAAACAGAGGTAGTGTTGACTATTGTTTACTTTGAAACATTCACCATACTGTTACATTAATTAAGCCATCTTTCCTCTTTGTTAATTCAAGGCTATGTACTTTAAAAAGACAACCTACAAGAATATGTCAAATGACCAAGAAAGGGGCAAAGTGACATATCTAGAGTTTGCTTCTCAAATTTTTCCACCAGCATAATCTTAAAGCAGAGGAGCGTGAGGAAGGGGAAATGGGGTCTGAGAGCAAAATCAGAAGCAGCCCACTACTGACGTGAAACTTTGTGTTCTGTCTTCATAATGTAAATGAATTTT